AAAAAGAATTCAGTCTTACTCCATCCCGTTGCGGGTGTTCGCAGCTGTCGCCTGACACACACTAAAATGTCCATAACAAACGGCTGGTTCCTTCACCAACTGTATAGTTTACAGTCATTTGTCACTCACAGCTAACAAACCATAAACCTTTAAATCTATCTTGGTCGGCGAAAATTCCGGAGCCTCTCTTTAATCCAATCCTGACGGGTCTGCCGGTTTGCTGTATTCGTAGAGCGTTGCCAGCCGGTCGTCCGCGCTTTGCTCAAAACCTCAACTTCTGAAGATGTCTCGCGGCCGAACTGGAAGCCCCTTTTCTTCATGTCCTCGGTCGCTTCGTCTGCGCTTCCATAGGTGATCGGCCCACCGTCAAAGAACACTCGCAATTTCGCTGGCGGCGGTGTTTGAAATCTTATACCCTTCTCTTTGAGTATCCTCCTGATCTGAGAGTATGCCTTCCTTTTCGTCAAGGTTTCAGCAGGGTAGTCATGATCAAAATAGATCCTGCTGTTGTTGTGAAAGATTTCCTTTTTCTTCCACGCAGTGTGCAGAACCATTTCCTTAACTTTGAATTCTTGAAAGTACACAATCACGGATCTTGGCTGTGCCTCGTTAGGCGGTCTTGGTCCGAGCGCTCTGTGGCATCTTTGAATCCTGAGTTCAATATCAACGAGGTCCAGTTCTTTTTTAATAAGATTATCGATGAATTGGTAGATGTTGTTATTTTCGGCGCCTTCCGAGATCCCGAAAATGCGAACATTATTACGTCTCGAGCGTGCCTCCAGGTCCGTTAACTTCATCTGCATTTTTTCCTGGGCTTGTAGTGACTGGCTCAGAGCTTCCCTGAAGTCCGTGGACCACTCCTCGGCTTCGGCGATGCGGGCCTCGGCCTCAGTCACTCTGTCAGTTGTAGTTTTTAGATCAGTTGTGAATTCGTTTAGCGTCTGATAAATTTCCTTTCGAAAGTCCACTAATTCTCTTTTCAGATCGTCCCGGAAGTTATTTAGCTCTGACTTCATCTCCAAGGCCATCATCTTTATGTCTGCGCGGATGGCCGCGACGCTATCATCCACTGTTGCTAATTTTAGATTTTCCTCTTGTCCGCCATTACGTTCTCCTTGTTCCTCAGCCACGGCGGTATCCTCTAAATTACTACCTTTGTCCGCTTTCCCAAGCTGTTTTCCTTTGCCCTTTTTGATCTTCTCCCCTTCCATCATTAAATTCGATCAGTAACTAAGTTTTAATTGTATTGTTTGGGGAATTAATCTCCGACCGAACGGGAGACAAAAAGTTAAGCGGCCATGCGCTTCAGTTAACCGCCGGAAGTCCCAATTCTAACCTCCTTACCTGCAGGTTTCAAACAACTATGAAGGACTGGATTTTAATCCAGTTTAATAAACTTCCAAACTGAAGTTTAAGCAGGTGTTTAATTAAGGTTAAAGCTAATCTGTGCAGAGCTGTGCCCCTTCAGGAACTTAGTTTGATACCTCTTGTAAGTTGCTGCAGTAGGACTCTTTGTGACAGGCTCTACTGGTGGCAGCACGATAACAGGAACAATCAGCAGCAACCTTAACTTCCGGACTACAGAGCCAAATAGAAATGTCATTCATTTTGTCAAAGAGGGAGACAGAGCATCTTTTTAGAAGAACAGAAGCTTGTGCAAGCTACTACAATCTAAGACTTCCTTTGTAATTTTTTTAAGGAGGAGATCGTGGTAATGTGTATGTGAGAAGTTCTGCCACACTGTGGATTTACAGACTCAAACGTTACCGGAGCAAGAGTGCGAAGGGGATAAAAAGTGGAGCTGAGGTTTGGTGGCACCTCAAAGTGATGGTAGGAGCAGTTGACTAGGGAAGAGCTGGCCCTGGAAGTACTGTGTTTCGATAAAGCAAATTTCGGAAGAAATGACAGCTGATCCAGTGGCGTAGCGGACGGGCCCGCAGGGCAAGCACCACGGGGGGCCCCCGCGTGATTAGTGGGCCCACGTCGTCGCGATTTTTAATAATTGAAAATCCAGGAACCGCAATAATCAAACTCTTCGGAACAACTGTGGTCGGAACCAAAGTTTACAGGTCTATGTTCTCTGAACTCCACTCAAGCGGTGGACTACTTCATTCTTATTGTTTGCCGCCGAACCACGTCATAGCCAATGAAGACGCGCCGCTGTTTCTCGCCGCCGGTTCTCGTTAAAAAATGAATGACTTCTGGCTACTTTGACGCTCTCGCCACTTTCGGTTTGTGATCGCTCCTCAGTTTGTGAAGGATTCCCCGCGTTGTCACGCCACTCCGCCTCCTTTCCCCGCTCCTCAATTTGTGACATAGATATATACACTAGATATCGCATAGGGACCCTGAGCATGCGTCTATAGCGCCGCCACATTGGTACAGTGCTCCCAGGACAAATGTCATTCAGCCGCACTAGTCAAGACAGTGTTATTACGTGAAGATGCTGGACTTAAGCGCCGTCTACGAGTGTAGTAATGAGCAAACAAAGAAAACAAAGCACAAAGGCAGAACATTTCATAGGATTAAGTTTTTTACGTGTTTGTATGTTTTGAAATTTGTGCTAAACAGGTCACGTTATTGATAATAATAGCTATAGTCACTTACTGCATTCACCATAAGGCAAAGTAGCACCAATTCGCACTAAACACTCGGTTTATGCTAGGTTTGTTGAATAAATCAGCAAACAATGCAAAAGAAATATGACAAAGAGATGCTGTAGTGCCAGAAACTTGTATTATTGTCGGCTAGCGAACGAGTCGTTCATAACGGAGATTCATTCACAAACGAATCGCTCCCTCCGTCAGTATGAGAAGTGAAAGCAGGAGAGGAGGTGTATTTCAGCACATGATTAGATCAAATTTAACAGGGAGGGTGAATAGTACATTTCCATACACACAAACACAAGCTTTTTGTCAGGAATGCCCGTGTGATAAGTGATCCATCAATGTAGAAAAGTGATGTCAAATAAAAATTTTCATAATTAAAAAAAAATGCATACTAACATCCAGGGAAACTCCCGATCATAGATATATGTGCATATGTGTATATCTATGTGTATACTCCCCCCCTCCCCCGCCTTCAACTGGGGGCCCCGTTGGTGATCCCTGCAGGGGGGCCTCCGCATTTTGCGCTACGCCACTGAGCTGATCTTTAATGGAATCGGGGCAGAAGTAGAGGAAACTCTGGGCTCAGATTGTACAGCTCTCAGACTCATAAAAGAATGTTCAGATGCTTAAAAGTGATGTGAATGAAAGCTTTTAAATGGAAAAGAGCAATTATGAATGAATGCTGGCATAAAAAGGGCTGGATAGCCAATTGCTGGCCTATGGAGGTTGGATGTTTTGAGAGCTAAACACTCTGTTGGGAACATAGGACATTTGGATAATAATAATAATAATAATAATAATAATAATATATTTTATTTAAAGGCGCCTTTCTAGCAACTCAAGGACACCGTACAATCAACAAGAGCAATAAAACAACAAGAGAAATAATAAAATATACACAGCAATAGTGCAGATAAAATTAAGTATTAAAAGCCATCTTGAATAAGTGGGTTTTGAGTCTTGATTTGAACAGTGTAAGGGAGTCAATGTTTCTGATGGCAGGTGGTAGTGAGTCCAAAGCCGCGGACCAGAGCGGCTAAATGTTCTGTTGCCCATAGTTGAAAGGCGAGAAGAGGGAACAGACAAGTAGAGGGAGGAAGAAGATCGCAGGGTGCGAGAAGGAACAGAAATGTGGATGAGGGCAGACAAATTTGGAGGGGCGAGATTGTGGATGGCTTTGAATGTTAACATCAAGATTTTAAAGTCAATTCGAAAATGAACAGTTAACCAATGAAGCTGCTGCAGGACAGGGGTGATGTGATGAGAAGAAGGGGTTCTGGTGATGATACGGGCAGCTGAGTTGTGGACCAACTGAAGCTTACGGAGAGATTTATGAGTGAGACCAAAGAGAAGAGAGTTGCAGTAATCTAAACGAGATGTGACAAGGCTATTAACGAGAACAGCAGTGGCATGAGGGGTAAGAGATAGGCGGAGACGGTTAATGTTGAGTAGGTGGAAGTAAGCAGAACGGGTGATGTTATTGATGTGAGAATCAAAGGATAGGGTGCTATCAAGGATGACACCCAGACTCTTAACCTGTTTAGAGGGATAAATGGAACAGTCGTCAATTGAGAGAGAAAAGCTGTCAGTTTTGGAGAGTGTTGATTTGGTTCCAACAAGCAAAACCTCAGTTTTTGAACTATTTAGTTTGAGGAAGTTAAGAGAGAGCCAGGACTTGATTTCTGCTAAGCAGACTGTAAGGGATGTAGTTGGAAAACAAGAAGAGGGTTTGCCAGAGAGATAGAGCTGGGTGTCATCCGCATAGCAGTGAAACTGTATGTTATATTTACAGAGAATATTACTGAGTGGAAGGAGATAGATGATAAAAAAAGTAGGGGCCCCAGGACTGAGCCCTGGGGAACACCCGAAGAACTGTAAAATGCTGAGAAGTGAATGATTTGAGTTGAATGAACTGAGTGCGGCCAGAGAGATAAGATTTAAACCAGTCAAGTGGGGTATTGGTGATGCCAAGAGTGGATAGTCTATTGATGAGGGATAACAGGACACAGACAGGATAACACACTATAAACCATCACATGCATAGCAGAGAAACTGTTAATGTGGATGTGGCTAAAGAGGGCAGATTTGTGAGTTGCTGCTAGGGCAAAGGCCATAGTCTGAACAACCCTGACTTTGTCGTCTGGTTGAGTGCGTTTGATATTTGAAAGATTCTACTGTAAATATTTGTCGACACCAGGTCATTTTATTGAGAATGTGCCCTAGCATAGTATCAAAGAGATTTTTTAACTTGCATTAATCAATTTCTTTTACCTTAGTCCCTGATTTATCAGTGGTTGCCACATTTTTTGATGCTGAATCAAAATAAACTAAATAATTTCAATGACGGTTAAAAGTGCACTATTCTGATTATAATGCAAATGTATATCTTACCATTTTCCTTGGCTGTTGCTGAACTGCCGTACAGTGTACCCAAACTGCTCTGCTGATGACCCTGAGAAAATCCTTGCTCCTGTTGTCCCCACATTAAAACCCTGAGAGTTATTGATGCTGAAACCTGTTGAGACATATTAAAACAAGTCTTTTTTCTGGCCTGATATACCAACATACACACATACTCTACCAAAATACACTGCAAGACAAACAAAAATAATGAAGCAAAACAATATACTGCCTATTGCATGATATCCTAAAAAATGTAGTTTGTTAGTATTTTTGTAATCAGGTATGGAATTTGCTGAGACATGTCACAGCGTGAACTCATGAGGGATGGAGTGACTGTGTGCACTAAATCTTTGATGTGGAAATCCTTGGAGATTGTAAACAATATTTAGCCATATAATCACAGAGAATCTTCACGAGTTGAACTTTATGGTACGGGTTTTTTGCTTGACAATGAAGAATAACATTTAAAGATATGCCAAGCTTTGTATTCATGCTCGTTCGTCTGGTTTTAACAAACCTTTATTCCATTTTTAGGAAAATTTTGAATGTCATAGGTGTATATTTACTGAGTAATCCACTACTTTGGAGCAGTGGTCAAATTTGGCTTCAACCTCAGTTTAAGATGGGGTAAACACGACTTTAGAAAGATGAAATAAGACTTTTGTTTGCAGAGAGATCGGTAAGTAATAAGATGGTAACAATCTTTTTAACATTAATTAAATACTAATTAAATATACATAATTATTTTTAGCATGCTTTTTCGATTTAGTTTTTATCAAACTTTTTCCTTGGTCTCTTAATGAGTAAATAATTGAATTGGTCACATTTTCAGTGGACAAGAACCAAACATGCATTTTTGCATGTAGTTGATATTGTTTTCTTCCAAAGAAGACTTCCTCAAGGACAAATGATCTTGAAACTAGACATGTATCCTGTTGAACTGAAACAGAGTGGCCCAACATCGTTTAACTCTTACGAAATGTAAACTAGTAAGTGTTCGGTTGACTTGGATTTAATGTTACAACTCAAAATATGTCAAAACATGTTTGAGCAGAGTGTGATGTGAACAATATTTCAACATCCTCATCTATCCTGGCCATCCGATCTCACAGTTTATCTTGATTGTATAGTTTTACTCCAATCTAAAAAGTTAAGAAGAATAGAGGCAATTTGCTGAAAAATGCATGTGAGAAACAATCCACAAACTGATGAATAAAGTAACTTACATAGTACATCCTCAGACTTCTCCATTCACAATATAAAGAGGCAGTCACACAGTCATAGAACAATAAGAGCCTTCAAACTATGCAGAAAGCAGACAGAACTGAAAGACACATGAAACGAGACAGACGAAGAATTAAGTCATGAACATCAGCGGAAACAGAAATTGGAGGTCAGACTATGGGGTTAAAGAGAGAATGTGTTTCCAGTCCAGTGCCTGCATTATGATCAGTAAGCCAGTTTAGACACATTTTAGAATAGACAGTTTGGGCAAGTATGCTACACCATTTTAACCATGATGATTTGGCTATAGTGTTGCTTAATAGTCACACTCCACTGTAAAAAATCCAACTTGAAAAAAAGTGAAAATTACTTGTTTTTTGTTGTTGTTAAAATAAAAATTTAAGTTAAAAACATTAGTTTTGTGAGTAAAACTTTGCAAGTTCACCCCAAAAAAAAGCTTCTGCGAACTTGTTACTTTAAGTTGAGTTAATCTCAGACCTTAGATGGCTGCAGAAAGACTTTTAATGTGAATTTTCATCTCACACTTTACCTAGTTCGCTCGACAAAAAGAAACGTTATGCGCATGTGGACTGTTAATTAGTATTTAACTGATAGGCATGTACAGTTGAAACCAGAAGTTTACAAACACTCTAAAAAAAGGAACCATTTTTTGAAAAAATGTCTGAAGGTAAATCATAATAAATGTTTACTATTTTAGGTCTGATAGGATTACCTAAATGATTTACATTTGCTAAATGCCAGAATAATGAGAGTTTATAATGAATAATGAAAGTTTTTTTATTACTTTTTAGACAGTAATTATCATTAATACATTAATATCTGACTTTTTTAAAATGGTTATGTGCCTTTTTATACAGTGTACGTAAACTTCTGGTTTGAACTGTATATGGAAGTTTTTTCCTAACAAAATGAAAATGAAAATTCAAAAGCCTAAAAAGATCCAATAATAAATCAAACTTTCAAAACAACTACCCAAATGATAAATCAAACAATCAAATAATAAGTCAAAATGCATTCTTAAATGAGAAATCAAATGTATTTGATATTTATATTTCATGAACAAATCCTGTAATAATTAAATGACTTAATAATTAAATGATTTCACACACACACAAATGGAAACTCATGATGGACTATATACAGTACAAGGACTATAAAGACATCTCATTCAAACAGACTCTTTGCTGAGTCCTTTTCCCCCCTGTGAAGCCTCATAAAGTGGTTTTCCCTGGTTGTCCTGCCATGTATTGATACTTGTTTATGGTTATTTTTGTTTTGCCTCCTTTCCTGTTTCTAATTCTGTGCCTAATAATGTTTACATGTTTAAATGTTACCATTTGTCTGTTTCATTTTTTTCTGCTTGTTTTTATTTCTTAGTACCATTTATTTTCTGTTCACTCAACGTCAGGCATTTCAGTTCTGCAGACAAAAATGTTCAGTTGGCACAACTTAAAAAGTTTTGTAGTTCACATCTCTAGAAAACTAATAATCTTATGTTAACCTAACTAAATGTTTTTTTATTATTATTTTTTTATTTGACAAATAATTTTTGGTCAGTGCAGCTGATGTTTTTAAAAGTTGAGTGAACATGAAAAATCTAAAGGAAATAAGGATTATGTATTTTTGTGGTTGTACTAGCTTAATTTATTTTATTCATTTTTTTACAGTGTGTGGATAGTTCACCCAAAACAAAACTGAAAATTCTGTCATTTACTCTCACTTTACTTACATTTACTCTCACTCATCCCAAACCTGTCCGAGTTACTTTCTTCTGTTGAACACAAAATTAGATATTTTGAGAAAGCTGGGAACCTGTAATGGAAGTCAAGGGAATTCAAAGTCCAGTATGAAGTTTTCTTGAAGTATTCTTAAGATTAGACATTAATTGGCTGCTCATGTTTGTTTAATTGGAGTTGAAGCTAAGCTTTTCAGGTCTCTGTCCCGTTTGTTCAAGAAGGTGGAAAATTAAAAAGAGATAGAGTATAGCTAAAAATGTTTATTAATTACCATCACAGTGGCCCAGTGGGTAACACGATTGCCTCACAGCAAGAAGGTTGCTGGTTCAACCCTTGACTGGGTCAGTTGGCATTTCTGTGTGGAGTTTGCATGTTGTCCCCGTGTTCGCATGGGTTTCCTCCGGGTGGTCCCGTTTCCCTCATAGTCCAAAGACAATGCGGTACAGGTGATTATAAGCTAAATTGGCCATAGTGGCGAGGCGTGGTGCAGTAGGTAGTGCTGTTGCCTCACAGCAAGAAAGTCGCTGGGTCGCTGGTTTGAACCTCGGCTAAGTTGGTGTTTCTGTGTGGAGTTTGCATGTTCTCCCTGCCTTCGCGTGGGTTTCCTCCGGGTGCTCTGGTTTCCCCCACAGTCCAAAGACATGCGGTACAGGTGAATTGGGTAGGCTAAATTGTCCATAGTGTATGAGTGTGTGTGTGTGTGTGTGGTGTGTGTGTGTGAATGTGTGTGTGTGGATGTTTCCCAGAGATGGGTTGCGGCTGGTAGGGCATCCACTGCATAAAAACTTGCTGGATAAGTTGACGGTTCATTCCGCTGTGGCGACCCCGGATTAGTAAAGGGACTAAGCCCACAAGAAAATGAATGAATGAATTGGCTGTAGTGTATGTGTCTGTGTATGGATGTTTCCCAGTGATGGGTAGCAGATGGAAGGGCATACGCTGTGTAAAACATATGTCGGATAAGTTGGCGGTTCATTTCGCTGTGGCGACCCTAGATTGAGGGACTGATCGAAAAATTTTTGAATAAAAAAATAAGTTACCTACATTTTGAATAGTCTGTGGACAAGTAAATCAACATCAAACTTTCATTTTAGTCAAAGTTTTGTATATTAGTTTTCTACTTGTAAAGATTGGGTGGATGCTATGTACAGTAGGTGGATGTTACAGTTTACAGCTAAAAATATTACAGTATTTTTTACTCGATCTGATGGTGAGAAGGAGGAAGTAAGTTAAATGACACTTAAAGGGACAGTTCAGTAGTATTTTCATATTAGGCAAAACAAATGCTGTTACACTGTATGTGCAAATGCGTTGCACTGACATTAGTGCAAATATTGTTGTTTTTACTGCCACCCAGACTGACCACAACCTTAACACATCAGAAAATACAGATAACCACAAAAACTTTATCAAGACAGAAAAATATTGAACATTGAACACAAACAGGTCATTTTACTGCAACAAACTTAAATGAGTTGTATACAAAGCATTATGGAAACTAATGCAAACAAACAAAAAATCTAACTCCCTATATGATTGGTTTGAAAATTAAACTGTATGAAAAGAGTTGTGTTTTAATGAACTAGTACTTTTTCTGTAAGACTAAACAATCCACTTCTACCATGATTTTGAACAGTAAAACACCTCAATCAACACTGCATTCATTTTAATAAACCTTGTAGCAAACATTAACATTTTATTCTTTCCAGACCTGACTAAAACGGTTAGTAGAGTTAATATGTATGTTATAATGTAAAGCAGGGGTGTCCAAACTCGGTCCTGGAGGGCCGGTGTCCTGCAAAGTTTAGCTTCAACACACCTGGAAGCTTCTAGTATATCTAGCAATTCCTTAATTAGCTGGTTCAGGTGTGTTTGATTAGGGTTGGAGCTAAACTCTCTTAAGAACACCAGCCCACCAGGACCGAGTTTGGACACCCCTGATATAAACGCTAATAAAACCAATGAACTAATACAAAACTGTTACACTGATCTCAAGTTTGTTTGGAAGTTATTACATCAACAACACTACAGTTCATCTGCATGTAAACTCAGTGTTGTCATTTAATGTAGCAATTTAGGGTTATATTATTAAACAAAATGCGTGTTTGTATTAGTACTTACACAGAACAGCGAGAAGTACCTGTAGAATCTTCATTTGTAAGTCCATGTTGCCATCCAGCATCAGCACGAGCAGTTCTCCAGTGTCTGAGCATCGAGTTACAGGGAGTGAATCTGCACTGGGCGGAGGAGGAAGAGCCGGGGGAGGACGAGCTGGTCGCTCTCACACCTCATACCCTCCCATGGAGGGTCAAAATAGATTCGATATGTCAAACATTATGTTGCAAGAGAACTGTAAAAGTAGCATTCACAAAAATATGCGTTTAAATGTGTTGGTTGCATTTCCAGTTTGGCTAAATAGGCTAACATTGCTTTACAACTTTGAAGTTGTAGCGCATTATTATTAGAAAAGCTGAAAGAAATACGTATTCAGTTTTCACTATGGAAACTGAAAACTGCATGTACGTTTCTGTCAGCGTTTATATCCGACATAATATAACGTGATTAAATTAATTAACGTGAATAAAATCATCATATGGGGCGTCACGGTGGCGCAGTCGCGGTGTCGCAGGTTCAAGCCTCGGCTGGGTCAGTTGGCATTTCTGTGTGGAGTTTGCATGTTTTCCCCGCGTTCGGGTGGGTTTCTTCCGCTTGTTCCGGTTTCCCCCATGTTCAAAAGACATTCAGGTGAATTGGGTAAAATTGTCCGTAGTATATGTGTGAGAATGAGTGTGTGTGCATGTTTTGCGATGAGTTGCAGCTGGAAGGGCATCCGCTGCGTAAACATATGCTGGAAAAGTTGGCGGTTCATTCAGCTGTGGCGACCCCAGATTAATAAAGAGACTAAGCCGAAAACGAATGAATGAATGAAAACCATCATATCTATGGCTATCTATGGCATATCTATGCACTTTTGAGTTGACTGTTTGTTCTGTTCCTTCAGATTATTTTTTATACAGAGCACTTGAATGCTTGTATCTTATTGGCTGGTGAACATTCAAAGGTGCACAATTATTTTTTAGGAAACCGCAGTATTAGGCTAGCACTAATAAACTAGCATACACACATGCTAAATATCTTGAAATACAACATCTGGAAATGTGAAAACCATAATATAAATAGAATAATTGACTTTAGTTTGTTGAATTATTAGAAAATACATTGGGTGAGCATTATTTTTTTGGTTTGCATAATTGTTTAAATTACTTTTCTTAATTATTGGGAATTCCATTAAAAAACATTTAACACATCTATAGTATTGCATGGTTTTGAAGGGTTATTCATAGTCTGCCAAAAGACGTCTGTTAACTTGAACAAGTTTCCTTTTACAGTAGCCTAATATTAGATAACTGTGAGGAGAATAATTTTGTCTCATCGCCTCACTGTACCCACTTTTAGTGCATTTTTTCAGTTTAGCAGAAGATACTTCAATAATTTGCACAGGGGAAAAGGAATTGCACAAATATTTCCTCAGTTTTCCAACTGTAATGTTTTTAAAAGCTGTTTGTTAAAGCATTAAAAAAAGTAAGATATTAAATGACAATATATTCACTATATACTGAACATTTGATAAACAACAACCCTATAAAGCTATAAAATTCCCTTAAAGCCTATCAATCTCTTTAAGATATGCTTAGAATTTCACAATTACCACAAAGAGTGGAAAAAAAAAACTGGCCAACAAAATCTTGTTTAAAAAAACATCATTTAATCTGCCCTCAGGACTTCAATCACAACAGTAAAAATTATTTCACATTGAGGCGTTAAAACCAGTGTGTGTCATCATACTGCAAGTTTGTGCAGTGAGTGAGCTACAGGCGTACAATCTGCATCTAATACATAGGGGCATTAGATTTATTAAAAAATTATCATTTCTTTATTCTTTAGTGGAGAACCATATGCATACTAAAGCAAGTCTCAACGCGATGAGAAAGCAGGAACTGACAGAGACAAACTGCACTCTACTCCTCTGTCTCTCATGCATGTAGAAACTCATTCTCATACTTTTGAGAACGGCACACGACTGAGGCCAGAGCGAGCAAGTCCACTGCAGTGAACAAAATACAGTAATATCATCAAGACCTTCAGGAATCGAATGGCGGCAAACTGAATATCAGTCATTTATCTGTACATTTCAAGGTGACAACATTTCCACAGTGTGGCTTGTTCATGCTGGATTCTCACATAGACCCTCTTGTTCAGCCTGCTCCTGTTCATCCCCCTGCTGCGGCAATGCTTTCCTCTTGAAGAAGCCAACCTGGTGGAACATCAGTGTCATAGTTTGTTTTTCTTTGCTTTGCTTTGTTCAGGATTGATTGTTATCAGTTTTTACAAACTTAAGTGGATTAAACATAAAACAGTTAAGTTGTCCCCCAAAAATCCCAATATTTTTTCAGTTTCAACTAATTTTAAATAAGTATTTTGAACAAACAGCAAACGCCATTTTTTAAATGTATTAGTAAGATGGTAGTGATTTTTTTAGGATTAAATGCCAATTGTGAAAGTAAGATTTTGTTTTTAGAAAACATTTCTTTGTGCAAGTTGTAGTCTGTTATTGATTACAAATTATGTGATCATATCTAAATGACCTATTTTAGGTTATTTACAGTATTCAAATTGATGTCCCAGATAGCAAGTAGCATTCATACTTTTTAGATTACCTTTTAAATTACTTTGCCCTAACTTGTTTTTTGTTATTCTTTTCTGTAGAGAATTCAGAAGATTTATATGACAAAAATTTGGCAATTATTTCCATTTTTTCATCCGTGAAACACTGCGTCCCTTGCTGCTGTTTTATGTTGCTGAAAAATTAATGAACACCTTTGTATTTCCTCTATTAACTATTGTAACACTTTGCTGGCTGGAGTTCCAAAAGCTATCCTAAATAAGTTACAATTAGTACAAAATTCAGCTTTAGAATTCTGAATTCTGAATAGGACCAGTGCAGGAGAGCACATAACATCTATTTGGAATAATCTGCACTGGCTTCCTGTCAGTTTTCGAATTGATTTTAAAATCCTCATGTTTGCGTACAAGGCCTTGAATGGTCTAGCAACACAATATTTATCTAAGCTTTAAATCCCATACACTCCAAGACGTGCTTAATGCTTGTCTGATGCTGGTCTTTTAACTGCTCAAGCAACACAGATAAAATCTATGGGAGACCAGGCATGCTCTTTATTGCCATGTAAACTGTGGAACTCTCTGATATTCGCAATGCGGGATCCCTGAGATCCCTGAGATCTATTACTATTATTGTTATTAATATTTCATGTGTTTTAAATTATTACATTTTGTTTGCATTATTACATTTTGTTGTATTTTATGTCTGTAAATTGTTTTGAGATACTACTTTTAAAGGTGCTATATAAAAATAAAGTTTATTATTATTAATATTATTATTTGTATTATATACATATATATGTCAAGCGGAATGATGTGACAGTAGATTTTTTGGAAATTGTAAATAATTTTAAATCTATAAAAAAAAAATGTATTCTGATTCTAAGCATTTTAAAGTGTAGCACAATCTTAGGGTCTGATTATGTAATCCACATTAAACATTGTGAATTTAACTTGTTAAAAAAAATAATAATAATAATTATATATATATATATATATATATATATATATATATATATATATATATATATATATATATATATATATATATATATAGTGCAAATAAAACACTATTTTAAATAAATGATTATAAATAAAAACAGTGTGAATGAGTGTGTATGGATGTTTCCCAGAGATGGGTTGCAGGTGGAAGGGCATCCACTGTGCAAAAACATATGCTGGATAAGTTGATGTTTCATTCTGCTGTGGCGACCCCAGACTAATAAAGGGACTAAGCCGAAAAGAAAATGACTGAATTAATAAAAACGTGTATTTCTGCAACCATGCAAATCACTGTGGCCTCAGAGCTTGCAGAAGACACTTAAAATAACATTGTTACACAATAAGGAATTTAACTGATTGCATGTCTTCTTGGCTTATAAAAAATATCTTCCTCATGTAAACACTTTATACACATCTTGGCGTTTATCTCCTTTTAATGTCATACAAAAAATGATAATAAAATACATAAATAAAAGCAGGCAGTAGCTGGTGTTAATGTAATTCATGTTAAAAAAAAAAAAACAGCACATACCTTCCAGAGAATCACTGTAACCAGAGCGAATAGGAGCAGGCCGCCGAGGACACTTCCTATGATGATGCCTATAGGAATATCTCCAATCGCTCTTTCTTTAATGACTTTGATTTTGATCTGCAACAGAGCCAGAAATGATTAGATATCTGTTGATCATACATTAATGTTATTAGTACAAGGGTTTTAATGATGAGGATCTCCAAATGACAACAGATATGATAATATGATACAAACACACAAACTGATTTTTGAATGACAAAATATAATACGTCAGTTTTTAAAGATGCTTAAAAATATATATTACGATAATTTTTGTTTCCTAAATATTACTCTATAATTTATTTCGGTGATGTCACATTCATAAATCATTCTCATAACTGGCTTCTCAGTTACTAGTGCAGATTAATAATACATCATGATCCTGTTTAAAAAATATTACAATTGATATTTATAAACAAGGGCATATGGGACAACACGGTGGCTCAGTGGTTAGCACTGTGGCCTCTCAGCAAGAAGGTGGCTAGTTCGCGTCCCGACTGGGTCAGTTCGTGTGGGTTTCCTCTGTGTTCGTGTGGGTTTCCTCTGGGTGCTCCGGTTTCCCCCACAGACCAAAGACATGTGGTACAGGTGAATTGTATAAACTAAATTGCCCATTGTGTATGTGTGTGAAAAATATGTGTTAAAGAGTGTGTACGGATGTTTCCCAGTACTGGGTTGTAGGAGGTTGGCATTCTGGATACAGCAAATATACAGTGATGCATTAATATTGGTTAATGTAACTTTTAAAATTATTTTTATTTATTTATTCTGTGGCATCACATGATCTTTCAGAAATCATTCTGATATGCTGCCTGAGAAATTATTATTAGTTTTTACTTGTGCTTAATTATTAATTAATTTCTTTTTATTTAATGTTTCTTTTTAATGCCAGCATCTTGGTTTCCACAAAAATATTAAGCAGCAAAAACACTAACTAATTTTATTAGCATAAATAAAAAATAATGATAAATCTTTTTGAGCTTTTTGAGAAACTATATGACTGTTAAACGTCACTTTAAATTTTAAATAATACCAGAAAATACAAATTGTTTATTTATTCATAAAGCAGTCGAATAGAGTCCCAAGAATACAAAATGACTAATCTCATTATTATTATTGTTATTATTAATATTTAATGGAAAACTATTTGACAATGAATTTTAGTCAACTGAATTAAGATTAACAATATTTCAAGAGTATAAGGGCAAACATCTGTCTCATTAAAACAGAAAAAAA